TCAGTTTGGCAAAGGGTACTGCGCATGGCACATCGTCTGACTGAGATGAAAACATGCTAGATAAATTGACGGTCTTTCAAGTCATGACAAAATTATAAGGTTATAAGGATTTGACCTTTGACCTCCAAAAATGACCTCTACCTTGAAGATGCAGAAATGATTATTACATGCGACACATAGCCTGACAGTAATTAAGACATATTCTAAATGTTTCGAGAATCCATCAAGTAATGACAAAGTTTCAAACGGGACAGGATTTGACATTTGACCTCTATTTACGACTTCGTGTGGAGGCTGTAAACAGCCCTGTCATATATTAAATCAGAGATGTTATATTTCCGATCCTTAAAGATCGTTCAGAACGACATTATTGTTTTGTTTGTTGTATATTTAGTTTTAACTATTTGGAACTTTTTAGTTGGGTAGTTCCAATATTCCTACTTGAATAATGTTGAATCATTCTTAGGATATGTTGCCTGCTTTTAACTTTGTCTTTTGACGTCTTATCTGTGATATGCAGGCTTCATAAACTCTGATTCCTTTCCAGATTCCATTTTGATTAGTTCCGCCAATTGTTTTCTCGTTTAGGGCACACGTTTTCTATGACTTTGGGACAGACAATACGCCGCTTTTCATGGAATGGCACAGATGTTACATTGAAGGGTTCCATGATGGCCGCCGTATGAACACATCTGCGGATGTTCCTAAATTCAAAACTTTTCAATTTCATGTTTAAATGTTGAATTCTGCTAAAGCGGGTGCTAGGGACGTGGACGGTAGTTTACATTTGACAGTAGCGTCCATGAACAGGCTCAATCAAACTGAGTCTGCAACATTTTCAATTTTGCCGTTTTGGGCTTTCTTTAGGGATCTGTTTTTTCTCATTTTTTTTCTTCAAAGGTGAGGACATGTGTCTAACATACAACACATTCACTATTTATGTGTATTTCTATTGAAATCCCATCAAACATGCCAAAGTTGTAAACGGGACGCTATCTCTGACCTTGACCTTCCACGCTACATAATAATCAAGTGTACCATCAATAAGGCATACAGAAGTTAAGGGCCAGGCACAAACGTTTACAACACAATGTTTGTTTGTTTGTGTTTCATATTACGCCTTAACCCAACAGTATTTCAGTCATAAAGGCGGGGAGTTTCCTAACCATCGTTCCTGGAGAGTTACATCAGTACTAGACTACCTCCCTCCGTGCTAAACTACCAAAGCATCTCCCGGGGATCGAACCCACGCCAGAGAGGTAACAGGATTAGAAGTCATCGACTCTAACCCCTCGACCACGCAGGCGGTATACAAAACAATGAGCTATATGACAAATGCATCAAGTTCAATTCCTTGCTGTGACCTTGAACTTTAAGCTAGAGACCTGAATCTTGCGAATGACACATTAGCTACGTGGTAGACGTATGTGGCAATTTCTTTTGATTCTGTAACTGAGGCTACAAGGGAATTTGAAGATACGTTTATCATAATCGATAAATGTAATGCTAAAATTGTATTATGTAAACCCTTTGAGCAGAAGTCCTTAATTTTAATTTTATTTATTTCCGCTCAATTTTTCTCGTTTAGGGCATGCGCTTTTTTTAATTGGGGACCTTACGCCTCCTATATGGAATTGCACTAACGTGTCACATTGAATGTTCCATGAAAACCACCGTATGAACACATCTGCGTTTGCTTTAAGTTCAAAATTTTACCATTTTTGTGTTTTCTGCCGGTGCAAGAGAGCATGGACGGTAACTTGCACTTTCCAGTACTGTCCATGAATAGGCTCAATCAAACTGAGCCTGCAACATTTTCAATTTTGCCGTGTTGGGCTTTCTTTCGGAATTCTGTTTTTCCCTATTCTATTGTACATGACCCAAAACCCTATACGTCTTTTAATCTAAAATAAGGTAAACAAGATCATCAATGAACGCAATGAAGTTCAATTCCACAATTTAAGAAATCAAATTTATTTTCATGGTTTTATTTAAGCCCTACTGTATTCATTGTTTTCTTTCTTTTTTTTCAGAATATTTTAATGGAAATGGCCGTGTCCTTGCAAACATGTTGCTACGGATGTGAAGTAACTCTCGTTTTATATTGTCTTCTACGGATTGAAATTGCATTTATTTAATTTTTAGATAATTATTTTAATTTTAGATATATATTGATTCTTAAACGATGTTATTTTAAAAAACTATAGTATAGAGAGAAATAAAGAATCCCTAAAGAAGCACTTGTAAAACAACAAAGTTGAAAATGTTGCGGGCTCGGTTTGATTGAGACTGTTCATGGACGGTAGTTTCAAGTGCAAGCGCCCTTTAAGAACAATTAAAGCAAAATTTAACATTTAATTAAGAACATCCGCAGATATATATACGACGGTCATCATGAAACCTTCAATGTGACACTTTCGTGCGTGTCATTCCATGAAAAGCAGCGCATGGTCCCCAACTAAAAGACTGCGTGTAAACAAAGGTTGGAACTTAATAAAATGGAATTTGAAAGGGAATTAGAGGTAATGACGCCTGCATATCATACACCACATATAGACTTTGCCAAAATAAGTGCAAACAATAGAGATAATAAGAATCCCTTTAGAAAGTCTAAAACGGCAAAATTGAAAAATTAAATATGAAGACAATACACTCCCAAGGGCTTTAAGAACTGTCCATCATAGAATCTCCAACTTAGTTCGCCAGATGTAATCAAACATTGAAATCGTAGCGTCCAACTGTAAAAGGGTTGAACACCAAGCATGCGGTATGCCTTAAGATTATTTGGTCATAACCTCTTTTAATAAACCGTTTGATAATTTTAGTGAAGACAGCAGAAAAATTACTATTATCCATGATCTCCATAGCAATCAGGCATGTTAATACCTATTCGTAAAAGAGTTTTCAAATTACAATTGAATTTTAAAACTCTGAATTACGATGGTAAAACTTAGTAAAATATTTACGCAATTATGATAACGATAGCCTTTTTTCGTGTTATAACGTCTGCAGAGTCCCGAGGAACGGTTGGTGCCCGAGCGGCTCCAACCGTTCCGAGGGACTATGCAGACTTTATAACACAAAATAAACGTTCTTTGACGCTATTATAGCATTTTTTTTTTTAAAAATTCATGATGTATATTTAATACAAAACACATACATTAAAATCCTTGTGCTTGGACGGTATTTATCCAATTCTACATGTTTTACGTATGCCTTTTATTTTTTCGGGACCAACTTGGGAAATTTAAATGTTCAGAACCGTTCGAAAATTCGAATTTTAATTGATTGAACAAAGCTTATCATTGGAGATTTATTAACTAAAAAAACACATTAAATTACTCTGCCCAAACAAATTATGACCCTCAAAAATTCCCAGAATTATTTAAGATTGACGGTTGACATAAGAATCGTTTTTCTTTTCAAGCTCAGAATATCAGGCACTTCTGTAAACATTATTCTCTTTAAGAAATATAAAGATCATTTATCAATATAAACATCAATAAAATAACATTTTCTCATATTCATTTTGTGTTATCTTGTTTTGTAAGTTAATCTGAGGGTTAAACTGAATAACATTTATTTGTTTACATTGACAACTGTCCGTTTCTTAGAAAGGGCGACAACCAAGATTAGCGGCGATGTCTATACGCCGTATTTCCGTCATAGTTACTTTAATGCTGCTTGTCGTAATGCGATTGAGGCCCTCGAATCAATACTTTCAATTTAACACTTTGGCCAACAGGCCAAATCGTCATTTTTTTATTTGTTTACTGGGCCCTTTATGTATTGCGCATAGATGAAACCGGGCTATAACAAGACTATGTTAACACATGGTTTTGGTCCCGTTATAACATGGGCAAAAGAGTGGGAAAAAGCCGATTTTATGCTATAATATGACATAATGTTTGTAATGTTTTGTACATGGACAATCTTTAAATATGAATTTTTGAATTATAAGTCATCCTTTCTTCTACCTTTAAGGTCTTTTCTAGCAGATATGTTTTCATTGCCTACTTAAAATATATCCACTATTTTTTAATTCCTACAATTAGAAGAACTTCTTACGAACAAAAATAGAACGTGTAAAGCGCATTACAACATAATTACTACTATTTCAAACTTTTGGAAGGAATTTGAATTTGACCATCTTTTGAATTTTCATAAAAAAAATTCTTGAAAGATTTTTCCAGCATTCTAGAGGATTTGCAAGTTTCCTATTCCCGTTTGCGTCTACAGCTTTCTTTTTCTAGACATTGAATCAATTTGAAGGTATTAAATTGTAATGGCTAAAGTTATAAAATAGATAAAAACGTCTACAAAATTTATGTGGGTATTTAATCTTTATTTATTTATTTATATTTTTGTTTTGATGCCATTTAATAATGTACTGGATCAAAGGATTTTAATAAAATTTCAAATGTCATAGATGCATATGGTCTAGTGTGGGTCTCAAAGACTACTAATCAAGGGGTAATTAGCCGAGAACATTTTGGCAGCCTTTTAAAAGATAAAACATACTGTTTTATGTGACATAAATCAATTCAACTTAAAAGACATAATGTTCTAAGTCACATTGAACACTTTGATTTTAACAATTTTTTGAAAAAAAGTTACAAGGACTGTTCTATCTCCAAATGTTTTCTACGGTTTTTAAGCAAGGAAGTATTAAAACCAACATAAATTATCTTTAACGATATTGAGTTATTCTCCCGACACCACGTTTAGTAGTTTTTAAATTTTCAAAAACCGGCAATAAATAAAAAAGTTATGCAATACTAAATCTTTACATGCTTTTTTCTCAAAAACAACAAAATGGCACTTAGAACAAAACGTTTTTCAGGCGACGAAATCTAAATAATCGAGAAATGTATACTCCATATGATGTAAATCAGGATAGTTCACATTTAAAATTAAAGTCAAAATAATTTCTTTTATTATAGATTTAGTTACTATAGTATTGTTAATGATACAATTGTTTAAATTTAAAAAAAGATGTAATAATGTCTGAAAAGTTAGTCTTATTCAATATAAGTTCACTGGGATATATTTTAGCTACCATTTGATCGAAATAATGAGTATTCATGTTCAGGATATCATCTAAGTAGCGGGAAGTGTTGGGGCAAGACTTGACATAAATTCCTCTCAAAGCAGTATAGAAATAAATCAGCACAATTAGTTCCATTTAAATGTCTATTATGTTTGAAAACTCTATTACTCCTGTAGCTTTTTTATGATATCTAAAAACTAGTTCAGTGAAATAATAGATCCCACATAAATATAACAAATTAAAAAAGTAAATGATATTGGCTTATGATTCTTTAAATACTCAAGCAGTAAATGTACAGTTCTCCCATCAGTTAACTTATTTTATCTGAATATAAATCAAATTTGGACAAAGTCATATTCAACAAACTTTATAATACCAACATCTGGCTTAACCTGTCATCATTTTTATCTCTTCTAAACCGTCAAATAGTTTCAGATCTGTTTTGATTTCAATCAAATATATTTACCTGTTACTAAAAAGATGTAAATTTGTATTCTAAGATTAAACTTACATTTTTTTAAACTCACTTCAGATTTAATAATGATATTTTTGTAAGTATAGTGTTCGTCACAATATGACCAGTAATATATCAACGTGCCGTTAAACCCTAAAAAGCATACAAAGCGTGTATGTAATTATATTGTACTATATATTTTTATGTGATAGATAATTACATATTGATTTTAAAGTTAACACTTCTCCGACATGTATACACAACCTATTCATACTTTTAGAGTAGGTAGGTAAATATGTTAGGTGTTTTTTAATTCACATAAAATATCACTACTTTTTCTATTCCAAAATAAAGAATAACATATTCTTGCACTGAGCCCTAAAAATATAAATTAATAATAAAAAACATAATATTTTATCCGATAGAATATTTACATGTTATTTATTAGTTCTATATCATTTTCCCCAAAATTATTCTAAGCATGGTACAATTTTCAATCGGCTCCTACAAACATTAAAGGGTCTCCATTGAGGTCCAAAAGCCTAAAAACTTAACATTTGAGTTCCTTACATAGATCAAGCATAATTTGGGTTTAAAGCGTTGCAACGTTTTTCAGAATATTTTTTTCTGAAAAAAAAAGGAGTAGGCAAATGATCTAAAATTTTGCACACGGGTTATTTGTCTAGACCTACATCAAATGGAACATTTATTTGGAAAAAATTATTTCCTGTCCCGCAATGCCGAAAAAACTCAAAGGAACCCCTTTAATCATAAGCACAAATTTTAAAATGTTAGTAATGTATTCCCTCTTTTAAATATATACTGTGTTAATATTGTAAAAACTCAAAGGAATCCCTTTAATCATAAGCACAAATTTTAAAATGTTAGTACGTAATGTATTCCCTCTTCTAAATATATACTGTGTTAATATTGTTATGAAAATGCTTGTATTTCAGAAAAGTGAAGCCCGGGTCCGTCTTTTACTACTTTAAGAGAATCTCCATACGTTCGTTGATTGCATAGTATTTCGACATAATATTGATTCGTTGCAGGACCTGCATAGAGTGCGCAAACATTGTCTCCAACATATATCGTCAAATCCCTTAGTCTAGCCGCTGCAATAAATAACAATTTGATAAAATACTAGTAGATACCAAAAACAGCTTATAAGTAAAATGTACATTCAATGATTCTGTGAAACGACTTATAAACAATGCTGTGATATATATATATATATATATATATATATATATATATATATATATATATATATATATATATATATATATATATATATATATATATATATATATATATATATATATATATATACAAAAATGTATATATATATAATTACATTTTGACAAAATCATATTAATTAGAAACAGCGAAATATTTACAAAGAAGTTATTATAAATTGAGTATTTTGAGCATTAAAGGACAAAAATACGGCAAACTTAATGTCACTTTGTTGTAACTCGCCAAACTCTATTTCATTGCAGTAACTTATAGTGTTTTTAGAACAATATCATCATTCTGAAAACTTCATAAAGACAGTTACAGCCGACACTGCCTAAGAATGAAAGGTGTTGCTGTAAAATGGCCTCAGAAACAAGCTTGTTTCAATCGGGGAAAAGCGGAGCGCGCTGTCCGTGGACATGTTTTGTTATATTATACTGCATTGGGCTACCTAGGCATGTGATCGTAGCTATATAGTGACCAGGCAGAACGTCCAAGTTCTTATAAGAGTGGCCATAGATTTTCTTTTCATAATTAATTCATTTAATTACTTATATTAGGTGTTATTTATTTATTTTTTTTAAATTGGTAAAATCGAAAGCTACAATAACGGATCAAGTGTTCCGCTCATGTATAGTACCTTTTTCAGAGAGACGAGTTGTTAAGGCTCTTGTCAAATCTTATCTTAGGAACCGATGATTGAAACAAAAAGTCAAATATTAATTCTGCAGTAAATTTCATCCACATGTTGTGATGGTGATTTCATACAATTCATTACTTTTATAGCATTTCGATGGTTTGGATTTTATTATTGTACAAAAGCTGACTAAATCTCTATTACAACATACTCCTACGTTCTAAATAATTCGGAGTCATGGGTAGATCACTCAAAAGTGAGATCGTTGAAAGACACCAAACTTCTTTTCTTTTGGAATTTTTCTGCTTTTACATACTAACAACATGCCCAATTTAATGAAATCCTATATGCTTTTAAGCTGCCTATATGTCTATAAACAAGAGTGATCAGTGATCACATATGTCGCCTCATGGTGGCCAATTTCATGTTGGGACAAGTTTTGTGACAGACGGACAGACAGACGGACAGTGCACAACTAGACTTGGTACTTGTCATTCCTGTAAAGTTTGAAAATTGCACCAGTAGTTTATGAGGAGTAATCCGGACAAGCTTTTGTGTATCTGGCAACACACAGAAAAAAACACCTTTTTATCAAAGGGCCATAACTCGGCCAAAAATCATTCAACCGGAAAAACGTGCAATATGCGCAAGGACTTGAGCTACAGATCAATCCTGTAAAGTTTCATTTAAATATAAGAGAAGTAGTCCGGACAAACTTTAAAAATAACAAGAGCCACCGCCGGGCGGGGCAACGCTCGACTTTTTACTTTTTGTAAACGCAAACATAGAAAGGTTTGAACATATCTTAACGTTTCCTTTTTATAAATTTAGTTGGTCTGTCTTGTAACATGAGTTTTGTTTATCTATTTTGTATATATATATAGAATAAATGAATAGAAACACGCAATTCTATAAATAGAAACACGCAATTCTAAAAATAGTAACACGCAATTCTATAAATAGAAACACACAATTCTAAAAACAGTAACACGCAATTCTTTAAATAGAAACACGCAATTCTATAAATAATAACACGCAATTCTAAAAAACAGTAACACGCAATTCTAAAAATAGAAACACGCAATTCTAAAAAAAGAAACACGCAATTATATAAATAGAAACACGCAATTCTAAAAATAGTAACACGCAATTCTTTAAATAGAAACACGCAATTCTATAAATAGTAACACGCAATTCTAACAAGAGCACCGCTAGGCGGAGCATTATATGCCCGAAAGTGTTGTGTTTTTTTTTAGTAAGGATGAAGCATTTCTAAGACATGGGAATTAGCTGTTCATCCTTTAAAATTTTACAGCTGTAGGTTTAAGTTATCAATAATGAACCTAACCTTTGACCTTGTGACCCCAAAATCAATAGGGGTTTTCTACCTTATATGGACAATTATCCTAAGAAGTTTGAATATTGTGGGCCAAATAGAACTTTAGTTATGCTCCGGAGACTGTTTTCAATTTTGAGGTAATAGTGACCTTGACCTTTGACCTTGTGACCCAAAATTCAATAGGGGTCTTCAATTTAATATGAGGTCTGAATATAGTGGGCCAAATGGAACTTACGTTATGCTCCGGAAACTGTTTTTGGTTTTAAGGTTATTGTGACCTTGACCTTTAACCTAGTGACCCCAAATCAATAGGGGTCTCCAGCCCAATATGGACAATCATCCTATGAAGTTTGAATATTGTGGGTCAAATGGAACTTAAGTTATACTCCGGAAAGTGTTTTCAATTTCAAGGTAATACTGACCTTAACCTTTGACCTTTTGACCCAAAATCAATAGGAGTCTTCTACCCAATATGGACAACCATCCTATGAAGTTTGAAAATTGTGGGCCAAATGGAACTTAAGTTATGCTCCGGAAACTGTTTTCAGTATCAAGGTAACAGTGACCTTGACCTTTGACCTTGTGACCCCAAAAATCAATAGGGGTCTTCTACCCAATATGGACAATCATCCTATGAAGTTTGAACATTGTGGGTCAAATGGAACTTAAGTTATGCTCCGGAAACTGTTTTCAGTTTTAAGGTAATAGTGACTTTGACCTTTTGACCCCAAAATCAATAGGGGTCTTCTACTCAATACGGACAATCATCCTATGAAGTTTGAACATTGTGGGCCAAATGGAACTTTAGTTATGCTCCGGAAACCAAATTGCTAACGGACGGACGGACGGACAGACAGACAGACGGACGCCAGGGGGTATAACATAATATGCAAATTACACGCAATTTCCAAAAATAGAAACACCTAATTCTACAAATAGTAACACGCAATTCTATAAATAGTAACACACAATTCTACAAATAGGAACACGCAATTCTAAAAATAGAAACACGCAATTTCTATAAATAGTAACAAGAAATTTCTAATAATAAAAACACGCAATTCTAAAAATAGAAACACGCAATTCTAAAAATAGAAACAAGCAATTCTATAAATAGAAACACGCAATTCTAAAAATAGTAACACGCAATTCTAAAAATAGAAACAAGCAATTCTATAAATAGAAACACACAATTCTAAAAATAGTAACACGCAATTCTATAAATAGTAACACGCAATTCTAAAAATAGTTACACGCAATTTCCAAAAATAGAAACACCTAATTCTATAAATAGTAGCACGCAATTCTAAAAACAGTAACACGCAATTCTAAAAATAGAAACACGCAATTCTAAAAAAGTAACACGCAATTCTAAAAATAGAAACACGCAATTCTAAAAATAGTAACACGCAATTCGAAAAATAGAAACACGCAATTCGAAAAATAGAAACACGCAATTCGAAAAATAGATAATAAGCAACACCAACATAATAAAATGCAAAAGACAATTACCAAATTTAAAAAGCATTTTAATAAGTTCAGAATTTAAAGAAAACAATATAATGCCCTGTGTTAAAAAATGCAACGAACAGAGGTGTGGCCTCTGTGATTATTTAATAGAAGGATATTCTTTAAAACTTCAGGATAAAATATTTCATACAAAAGAAAATATGGACTGTACTGTTGAAAATGTTTTATATGTTTTAGTTTGCAACGGCTGCAAAGAATTTTACATAGGCCAAACACGTGACAAACTCAGAAACAGAAAAACTGTTCATGCTCAGCAGATAAGAGACCCATCAACCAGACAATTACCTTTAAGTGAGCATTTAGATAAATGCTCTAAAAAAGACCCGAAATTTTGTATTTTCCCATTTTATAAATTTCACAGTAAAAACGTTTCAGCTAGGTTATCTAAAGAACGCTATTTTATTGATGTTTTTAATCCAAAACTTAATACTATATAATGACGTTACTATTTTTAGATTATGCGTACACATGTGTACACAAAAACGTCGTCGTTACTATGCGACGACGTCACATTTGCCCTGATGATCATAAGAGAAACCGGTTGGCAAATAATTAAATAAGTTAACTCATGGACTGTGTTTTTTGTTTTATATATATATATATATATATATACACACACACACACCAATAAATATATAATTATGGTCATTTAATGCACAAATCTGAGAAAATTCAGTAATTTAACCTTCAAGGTTAAGGTCATTAAAGAGCCCAAGCAAATTTGGGTTTGATAAACAACAAGGTCTGGTCCTTAAGAATGTTCTGTTATAATATGAAGTTGATCCCTTCAATAATAGCAAAGTTACAGTCAGTTACAGCCAAAACAATGAAAATTTCAATAATTTGACCTTCAAAGACAATGTCATTAATGAGTGAAGGTCAAGGTCTGTCAGGTTATTTTTAAGAGTTATCCTTGAAGATTATTATGTTCAAGTTTCAGGACAATCCATTCAAAAATAACAAAGTTACAGCCAATAATAGCCAAAAAAATGAATATTTCAATAATTTGACCTTCAAAGTCAAGGTCATTTATGAGTGAAGGTCAAGGTATGTGTGGTTATTTTTAAGGGATATCCTTGAAGATTATTATGTTCAAGTTTGAAGACAATCCTTTCAAAAATAACAAAGTTAAAAAAGTTACAGCCAATAACAGCATGAACAAGCAAAATTTGGAATTTTAACCCTGAAGGTCAAGGTCATTAATGAATGAAGGTCAAGGTTAGTGTGGTCTACTGAAAGGTCTTGTCCCAAGGGTTGTTGCGGCCAAGTATGAAGACAATACACCAAGAAATAAAAAAAGTTATGATCCAGGTACAAGTTTGCGGACGGCAACGGCAACGCCGTCGCGACTATAACAATACCTCTACTTTTTTTTTCAAATAAAAAGTCGAGCTAAAAATTATTAAAGGGCCATAACTCTGACAAAAATCATTGAACCGGAAAATGCTGACAATATGCACAACTAGACTTGGTACTGATCATTCCTGTAAAGTTTGGATGAAATTGCACCAGTAGTTTGTGATGAGTAGTCCGGACAAGTTTTGTGACGGACAGATGGACGGACAGACAGACGACGGAGAAGTGATCCCTATATTTCGCCACTACTCCGTAGAGGCGACACAAAAAACGTCCCGAGGATTTTAATATTTTACGTGCTTACTCCACCATTAGGTACTATAACGTGTACTTGCTGTATCTTTCATATTAAAAACTTTAACATTGTTACTCGATATTGATACTAGGACCTCTTATCTGTTATTTTTTCTTTATCTTTGACATTCTTACTTACTGTTGTACAACACTCTAACGTGATTTATTTATTTATGACACTCTACACACTCGTATATTCTTGGTTGTATTTTAACTTGATTTTAATTCGACACATTAACGTGCTAATTACAACCTTATTACATAATAATCGAACATGCTAAATGTTAGATTGCCTTTTTGGTTATTGATTCTGTAACGTTTTTATATTGATCTTCTGTAGAAACACGAGCCTGAAAACTTTATCTTTATTACTGGACTACCTTACGTGCTTATTGAACGTATTGCTTCATAGTTTAACGTGTTTATTTGATCTTCCTTTATTGGTCACTCAAAAGTGCAAAATTTATTTTGTTTGACACTTGAACCTGCACACTTGATCATTATATTTCGACATTCTTAAGTGTTTTTTTCATCTATTTTTTCATGCGTATTTGGATTTTATTATTGTTTCGTTAGTTTCGACATTCTTCAGAGTTTCCTTAAGCTTTATCAGTGGTTACTCTTACATGTTTTTTTGGACTTTATTACTAGTTACTTTAACATGTGCTGACTTTAAATTGATATTTAATGCTATTTTTATATCATTTAACATGCTAACTTGACCTATTTTAGATATTATAATGGGTTAATAAAATGTGTTTGACTCTTAGTCTTACGTTGAAACTTACTTTGCCCAATTGATTAGTAATTGATTTTTTTTTGTATTTGAGATAGGATATTTAAATATATAAATTTAGTATTATGTGACCAGTATGATTTCATGTAATAGCTGTTGGCAAAAATAGTTATCAAAGTAATGTAGAACACATAGCTGTTATATTATTTTCATATTATTTTACTCAAACTATTTGGTTTAAAAACAAATGTAAAATCACATCGTCGAAAACCCTCAGCTGAATCATTAACATTTATTAGCAGACTACATAATAATCAAGCGTGGGTATCTAACGGTTGTAAAATCAAAGCATGCAATGACTTGCAACAATCATCATCATTGTACGTGAATTCAAACGTTGAAAACTACTTGTTTATTATAAATTACAATTGTTTTGATGCCGTCAACCTTTCTTATTTAACCTTTTACCACATGAGCATATTGATTGAAAAGCCTCCTGTTACCAGTTCCAACTGTTATAAAACTATGAAAAATGCTCTTCAATACTCTGATGAAACTTGGCACAAATGTTGACTGAACCTTTACCTCTGTAACAACATGCTCCATCTTAAATTTCCTGTTACCATGGCAACGGGGGGATGTCTCAAATTTGCGAAAAATCACTGAAAAAAAACTGATTTCAAAGGGCTGCAACTTCTCAATGCATTGAGATAAAGTAAAAAGCTTTTCAGCGTTTGTTACACTTTATCTTAAGATCAACCTGAGGCCATTTTTAGCCTGTCACATGTCAAACATTGGCAATCCCCTGATGTATCATTTTGATGGGGGCCGCGCCGAAAAAGTCTTCACTTTTTTAACAACATTTCTCAAACGAAAAACAGTGATAGGGGCCTAAATAGGGCATTTTTTCACTGTTTGAGGCCTCAAAAAAGGGGGGACAAAAAGCCGTCAAAACAAGTCTATATAAGGGAAAAGGTTAAAATGAGGTTCCTTCAATGGAAACTTCCTTCAAGTAAACATCAATAAAATTTTCTTAGTACTTACCACAGTCGTTTTTTGTTCCCATAATAATATCGTAATTATGTTTACAGCCTTGTTCCTGTCTATTATAAATAACAACTCTTTTGATTCCGTATTCTTTTATGAGCTGAATTTTAATCCATGGGTTCTTAACGTACGAAGCGAACGAATACTCCAATGTTTTCCCAAAAATGTTATCTACGACTTTGTATGCCCCATAGGAACCAAACGGTAATGACGAACTCACGCTTCTGTAACCGATAATAAGGTTAACCAGTTGAGCTTGAAATTAAAAACAAAAGTAGACATTTGATAATTTGCTATTTTCTCTCATGTACATGACAAAATGACTTGAAATAAACTTACTTAGGCAAGACAAAGAGTGAACAGTGCTTCAATGTAATCTATTAATATGAATATGATTTAATAGTATGTGCTGGAACAGTGTTTATGTATTATGCATACATAATTTAAATCAAACAATGCACATTTTTAGTATAATACTTTTTTTGTTTTCTCAATTTCGAAAAATGTAATATTTATAGATCTACTTGTACAAAATAATATGTGAACAATATCATTAAGTAAGCAAATTCTTTGAATTTCTATATTTTTAACCCCTGCCACATAAATGAAGCTTCTTCGTAGTATATATGCTTTAGAAAATTAAAGAAAATGTGAATTTGATGTCTTGACTTAAAACTATGTGTTAATTGAGTTGTCAAACTTGACCTGTATTTTATGATGTTTCATCTGTATACCAAAAAAATAAAAGAGAGAAAAAGGTCAAAACTATGTAATATATAGTAGTCTGAAGCCAACTTTGAGGTTTACTATAAACCAAGCTTATTTAAAATATTTTATTCCTAGTAGGAAATCTTTTTTCTATTTTCAGTAACATTAAACTTGATTCTAGGAGGTCCAAAAGCAAATACAATTTAAGTCCCCACATCAACTTGCTTGATATCAAGTTTGATTGCAATATCTCATTCCCAACGTCTTTTTTAAGTTTCAAATTATATACTACTCGTAAAATTTGGCATGCCATCTACTTTTCAGGAAAGCTATGTATACTTACACGTACTAAATATCAGAACCGGAGAAGAACCATAATTAAATCTCTCTTATATAAATTATTGTCATTTGCATATATTTTATAGCGCTTTCTATTAATATCATCCATGCATACTTTATGAACAAGAATATAAAAGAAGCATTACTTTTCAGTGTACAATGAAGTAATATTTTGATAATGTAACATAACAATATCTAAATGCGTAATAACAGAATAAAACTTAAATTAACACCACGATAAATCTCTTAAATAAACTTGTCAATCTTTCAGTCTAGACAAAATCATTCATCATTTAGAAGGAAAATTTGAAAATAATAACTGACTGTATAACCAACAGTACTGACCATGATCACATATGTGCCAGCTGATCTACACTGGTTGATAAGGTAGAATTGGTTGGCCCTCAACAGGATTTAAAATTTGGTCATAAAAACACTCCGTTGCAAATAAAATGTTCATGACTATAGGAAGTTTCGTATATCTACATTTGCACACATCATGTCAAACTTAAATATAATTCGAGAAAATCTATAAAATTATGTTTTCAAATGATCATTGTGACGTAATGATTTGATGTGTCACGTAGGAGTGTGCATGATGTTATGCGACAATAAACAGTAAAATTTATTTCAATCCTTTTAAAAAGCATCGACATTTTTTTGGCCACTCGTGAAAATAGACCACCCCGTGTTGATTCTGTGTAATATATCGATCTTCAAAGTAGAGCAACTAATATTCCCTATATTCGAAATTGTATTTTTTGTCTGCTGCTGACATGGTGAAAGGATAATAGTTATGATTTTGAAAAGGTCGCTTCAATTGACATTAAAATTCAACAATTATGTCAATAGTTGACAAAGGATTAGACCTGATAGTGTATACTTGTAAGAATATCATTAAAACATAGAAACAACAACAACAACAAATAAATAATAATGATAATAAATCTTATACAAAAACGACTTACGATCTACACCTTGACAGTTGTCTACATAACCGTTTGGACATTCGCATTTATATCTATTTATTTCATTGATACAACTACCAACTCCACATGGACTTGATAAACATTCATCAACATCTGTAAAATATGATGTGCATAAAAAACATCATTGACACATAAGCAATGTACATTTACTACATGTTATTCTTTAAAAAAAACATTGAATAAAGGTTACTTGATGAGGTCGATCAAGGATAGACGTCACTTTTCGGAATGACCATGGCGGTCTTACAAAGTTAGATTTATGAGTCAACAAACTTTACAAGCATATTTGTAGTTGAAAAAGGTCTTACAAACTTAAAGGACTCTGATGTATATCTTTGTATTGGGACGTAGGAAATGCCTTTTTATGCGTTGGTCCAAAGAATAATCATTTGATATATCCACGGCAAGATATTTGGCAAATGTTGCCGCTTCTAAAATAGTTCCATGAAGAGAATAGTCAGTTGGTATAGGATATTCCCTTCTTGTAACGTGGATTACTGGACATTTGATGACAGGAGAATGGCTGCCTTGATGTTATTTAATCGAAGGAAAAGTTTAGTAATAAAACAAGGACCAATTTCAAAGATATGGAGGCTGGGCAGCAACACATGACTTTAAATTGAAATATTCTCAGTTGGAAAACAAGCGTGTAATTGTTTAGTTAACACAATTTGTTAGGTATTTTTATCTTTTTTCTATCTGAAATCAATATATACATTTAAACAACAAACTCTGATAATTATTTAACCCCAAAACAAACACACATCATTTATCAACCACTAAAATATCTTTTCACATCTACGTCTTTTATACGAAACAATACTAGACACCTGGCGAGTCCAAGCTCTAAACAAATTATGATCAAACAAAACAATAAAAACACCACACAAAGATACAGTATAAACCACAAACATTCAACCAACAATGTTAACTTCAAAAAATCTAATCAGCATCAGAAAAGCACACTAAAGCTCCCAATATTTACAGATATCCTCAAAAAAACGTATCAACTTATATAATCTTGACAAGAAAAAATCACTCCAAACATTCAACCAATATTAACCAAATATTTCTTACCAAACATATATAACTCAACAACTAATTGCATCCAATAAACCCTGACCACTTAAGATCACCACAATTAAATTCAACCAACTTCAACAAAACTCTCTTTAAAACAACAAATTCTCTTCTCAACAAAAAAAGCTACACACTATAAGTGTGCCTTTCCCTAGCTGATCTAAAATCTCTCCCAAAACTCGCATATTTCTATTTGACTGGAACGTCGCGATATGACCTATACTGTGTCGGTGTGACGTAAAACCCAAAACAAACAAACAAGCATGTCCGTATGCAGTTCAGATTCTTTTCCATACAAATATTTGTTGAATTACTTCATTCCAAATACCATTGCAAGACATTCCCTTTCGATAACCGAGTATTTTCTTTCTCAATTCAGCAATTTCGTACTTGCGTAAGCTATTGGAAGCAGACAATCATCAAACTGTTTAAATAGTATAGCCCCAACTCCGGTGTCTGAAGCATCACATTGCAGAACAAATGACTTTGAAAAGTCTGAAAGTCGTAGTATTGGTGATCGTGTCAATACTTGCTTCAATTTCGTAGACATTTTCATGTTCTGGTTTCCATATGATTTTATTTGGCTGTCCTTTCTGTGTAAGATCTGTCAATGGTGCAGCAATTTCTGCAAATGAAGCAATGAATTTTCTGTAGTATCCAGTTAAACCAAGAAATGATCTCAGTTGACTCTAGTCTTTGACTCTAGTCGCATAGCGTCTCTAATCTTACTCAAATTGTCATCTTTAAATTTCATTTGACCTTTGCCAACAACATGACCGGTAAATGGTATACTTTGAAATCCATTTATACATTTAAAAGGTTTAACTGTGATATTTTATTCTCGTATTCTTTCGAACAACTGTTTCAACATCTTCATATGTCTCTCCCATGTTACCGTATGTCCAAGAACATAGTCTACATAGTTATCAGTATCATTTACCCCGGAAAGCAACTTCCGCAACATTCTATTAAATGTTGCACCAGAATTGACCATTTCTGAATTGGTAACTACCTTCTGTTGTAGAAAATGTAAGATGTCTTGATTTTGCTGAAATAGTTATTTGCTAAAAACCTTTGGTCAAATCAATTTTCGTGAAGAACTTATCTTCTTTGAACTTTGCCATCACATCCTCAACATTTCCCATTGGTTCTGTATCAAACTTTGTTACAGAGTTGAGCCGTCTGAAGTCAATACAAAAGCTTTATGTATTATCCTTTTTTTTTCACCAAAATAATTGAAGAAGTATAATCAGAATTTGCTGCTTCAATGATACCACATTCAAGCATTTTCGTAATTTCATCCTCTACCGCCGCTGTTCTTTTTGCAAATGTTATCGTATATTATCTAATACGAATTGGCGTTTTGTCAGTCAACTCAATTTTGTGAAATTTAAGATCTGTAGTTCCAGGAACGTCAGTAAAAAAATCCTCAAATTCTTGAAGCAACGCATTTACTTCTGATTTTAGTTCAAGTGAAAAAAATATATACCGAGCCTGCAACATTTTCAATAATGTCGTGTTGGGCTTTCATTAGGGATTCTGTTTTACTCTATTTTAGTCTTCTTTTAGTGTTAATCTACTAGGTAAACTAACTGGGCACCAGCGGTAAAAACTATTTATTCAACTTTAACGTACACTTTTATGAATAATCACCCACTGGACACCTGTAATAAACTTTATCAATAACTGATGTCTAACTTCAACAAATTATAAGCTATAGGTCCCTATCTTCATCATTGATATAAACTTATTATCACATTGATTCAAACTATCGCAACAAATGTCTCCCCAAAACCACTTAAGTCTATCACAGTATAAACAGCATTCAACCAAGGGTGCTCTTTACATAAACTTAAAACACAGTCCGTCAACGCTTTTCTACACTTAAACTTGTACAGAGGGTTTACTTGTATAACACCACAACACATGTTTATCGATTTACGCCCAACAGCTATTTTAGACTGTTCTTTTTTACAAAGAGATCGAAAATGATCTAAGGTTACTAAGGGTCCGCCTGGGCTCCTTAACACTGGTTCTTGCTGCTGGGTCGTATTGGGGTAGCGTTCATTGAACGCCGCCTTTCCTTGTTGATCTTGTTTATCATATTTTAACAAAATTTTTATCAAAGTTTAACAAAAAATATTTTGCCAGAAAAGATTCCAACTTAAAGAGAATATCCCGGACGAGCCCCCAAATTGTCAGGAGAAAGACTGCCTTGATGTTATTTAATCTTAGCAAAGATTTAGTAATAAAACAAAAGCTTATTTCCAAGATATGGAGGCTGGGCAGCACCGCCTGACTTAAAATTGAAATATTCTCAGTTGGAAAACGAGCGTGTAATTGTTTAATTAACACCAATATTTAGGTATTTTTATCCTTTTTAAATCTCAAATCAATACATGCAAACTTTGATTACTTCTTACACCCAAAACAAAGAACTCTGATCATTATTTACCCCCAAAACAAACAAACATCATTAACCAACCACTTGTGCGAAATACCTTTTCGCGAGCCCAAGCTTTTAACAACTTATGATCAGACAAAACAAAAAAACAGAACACAAAAAATGAAATACACAAAAATGAATATTTTTCACAACTCTAAGATACAGTTTAAACCACAAACATTCAACCAACAATAATAACTTCACAAAATCTAATCAGCATCAGAAAAGCATACTAAAGCACCCAGTACTTACAGAGATTCTCAAAAAACAAAGCATCAACTAATATAATCTTGACAAGACAAAATCACTCCCAACATTCAACCAATATCAACCAAATATTTCTTACTTAACAGATATAACTCAACAACCAAAACAACTAGTCACATCCAAAGAAACCTGGCCAATAAAGATAACCACAATTAAATTCAACCAACTTCAACAAATCAACAAAACTCCTTTTAAAACAACAAAAAATTTTTAAACAAAAAAATAAACGCTACACGCTATAAGTGTGCCTTTCCCTTAAAATCTCTCCCAAAAATAGCATATAACTATTTGACATTAAATACATGTACAGAGGGTTTCTGTTTTTCTCTATTTTTAATATACGCACATCAGCTGAGTTAAAATAGCTTTTTTTCATTGAAACATGATACACCTCATGCCATATGGATTTGTGCACGCAATTTATATCATATGAGATCATACTCATTAATCAAATGTTAACATTTTCATACTATAGATGATGATTAAGTTAAAATCTTAAAATAGTTATTTTTATATTAAAAAAATGTGAATCATTAATAGCGGAAGAAAAGAATTATAGAAACAAGAGGGCCATGATGGCCCTGAGTCGCTCACCACAAACAACTGCTTTTCAGTGTTGGAATGTCAATATATTCTAATATTATTTTGAGCATAGAATATGTTTAAACAATACTTTGAAGAAATGCCATGACCTGGGGCTTAAACGGGGATAATCAAATTAATATGAGCAAACTTGAAAAAAACGCTGCCGACAAAGTTTGGTGATCGTCCATCAATTAGTTCTGTAGGAGAAAATGTTTAAAGGTTTTTTTCTATTTTTAGCCCTAGAGACCCCTAAAAGGGGCCAATCTAATTCATATCTTTATTATGAGCAAACTTGATAAAAGACTACCCAAGAATGCTTCAGACAAAGTTTGTAGATCATCCATTAATTAGTTCTCTAGAAATAGACATTTAACGGTATTTCTATTTTACCTTTCGCGGCCCCTTTAAGGGGCCAATCAAATAAATATGAGCAAACTTGATAAAACACTATCCAAGAATGCTACAGACAAAGTTTAGTGATCATCCATCAATTAGTTCTGTAGAAATAGACATTTAAAGGTTTATTATTTTAGCTTTTGCGGCCCCTAAAAGGGGCCAATCAAAATAATATTAGCAAACTTTATAAAAGACTTCCAAAGAATGTTACAGACAAATTTTGGTGATCATCCATTAATTAGTTCTCTAGAAATAGACATATAAGGGTATTTCTATTTTTAGCTTAAGTGGCCCCTAAAAGGGGCCAATCAAATTAATATGAGCAAACTTGATAAAAGACTACCCAAGAATGCTACAGACAAAGTTTGGTGATCGTCCATCAATTAGTTCTGTAGAAATAGACATTTAAAGGTTTATCTATTTTTAGCTTTTGCGGCCCCTAAAAGGGGCCAATCAAAATAATATTAGCAAACTTAATAGAAGACTACCCAAGAATGCTACAGACAAATTTTGGTGAGCATCCATTAATTAGTTCTCTAGAAATAGACATTTAACGGTATTTCTATTTTTAGCTTAAGTGGCCCCTACAAGGGGATAATCAAATAGATATGAGCAAACTTGATAAAACACTACAATACCGACAAAGTTTGGTGATCATCCATCAATTAGCTCTGTAGGAGAAGATGTTTAAAGGTTTTTCTATTTTTAGCCCTAGAGACACCTCAAAGGGGCCAATCTAATTCATATGAGCAAACTTGATAAAAGACTACCCAAGAATGCTACAGACAAAGTTTGGTGATCATCCATTAATTAGTTCTGTAGAAATAGACATTTAACGGTATTTCTATTTTTAGCTTTAGCGGCCCCTTAAAGGGGTTAATCAAATTAATATGAGCAAACTTGATAAAACACTATCCAAGAATGCTACACACAAAGTTTGGTGATCATCCATCAATTAGTTCTGTAGGAGAAGATGTAAAAAGTTTTTTCTATTTTTAGCCCTAGAGACCCCTAAAAAGGGGCCAATCAAAATAATATTAGCAAACTTGATAAAAAAAACTACATAAGAATGCTACAGACAAAGTTTGGTGATCATCCATAATTAGTTCTGTAGAAATAGACGTTTAAAGGTTTTTTTCTATTTTTAGCTTTAGCAGCCCTAAAAGGGGCCAATCAAATTCATATGAGCAAACTTGATTAAAGACTACCCAAGAATGCTACAGACAAAGTTTGGTAATCATCCATCAATTACTTCTGTAGAAGAAGATGTTTAAAGGTTTTTTTCTATTTTTAGCCCTAGAGACCCCTAAAAGGAGATAATCAAATTCATATGAGCAAACTTGATAAAAGACTACCCAAGAATGCTAGAGACAAAGTTTGGTTATCATCCATCCATTAGTTCTGTAGAAGAAGATGTTTAAAGGGTTTTTCTATTTTTAGCCCTAGAGACCCCTAAAAGAGGCCAATCGGAATGAAATGAGTAAATTCAAGTTTGACTGTCACAAGGATGCTACAGACCAAATTTGAAGTAAATCTTCTTAGTTGTTTCAGAGAAGAAGACGATTGTTGACAAATGACGACGGACGCCGGAGCATCCCCCTTTGATACTAATAGCTCACCCTGAGCCTTCGGCTCTGGAGAGCTAATAATAACTATTCAGTAACAACAAAACATTCTTCAGTCAAGCGAAAATGTCGTTGTTTACGAATTACTCATGAGGGGCATTCCAGACGGGTTACAAACACGTACGTCATCATCTTGATAGACAATGTAATACTTACTTAAGCTTACCTTTTCGAATTTTGATAAAAAAAATATCTGCACTACCTGCATCACAGTGCACTCCTTCCCATCCAGGTTTACATTTGCATTGATAACTTTCACCATATTCTACACACCAACCGTTCACACAAGGGTTTAAGTCACAGGGACTAGTTTCTGGAAAATTTATTTGGCAAACTGATAAACGTGAAACATATGACTTGTACATATGAATTTGTTTTGTTTTAATTGACTGATTTTACAAATGGCTTAATATCAAAATTAGAAATTCTTTTACATACATAAAGTAAATAATTCTACAACCAAGGTAAATCTAAACCAGAAAAAGAATCATGAAAAAGATCAATTTTTAATAATTTACCGTTTTGACATTCACAATGGTCACCAAAATAACCTTCTTCACAGTTATCACAAACAAGTTCATTTTTATCCCATCTACATTGATGAAATTTTGCACATTGACCTGAATGATATAAAGCATTGAATGTATTTTGAAGGTAATCAAGAAAGCTATGATAGGAATATTTAAGCTATGATATTTGATAAAAGTGTGAACCTTCAATCAGTTCGTCAGAACATGTGCAGCGAAGTACAATGACAAGTACTTTTTAGACTTGTTGTTTTTCTTAAAGCACTAGAAGTAAATATAACGGTGTTCCATTGAGGCCATCGTGACACACACACATAAATCGAAACAAAAAACACAAAATTACGATTGTGAAAGTCGACGGTTCGATGATGAAAGTCAAAGGTACGACGGTGAAAAATCGAAATAACTTAACCACGATGGTAAAAACTTGAAATCATTTTTCTTTTCAACATCATAAGTTCGACCTTTTACCATAGTGGTTTCGTTATTTCGGATTTTCTCTTTTCTCCATAGTACTTTCTACTTTTTATTATTGTATATTCGACTTTTCACCATCCTGGTTTCGTTATTTCGACTTTTCACTATTGTACTTTTGACATGTTATCGTTGAACGTTGATAAAAAGACTATCCAAGAAAAGTTTGGTGATCATCCATTAATTAGTTCTGTATAAATACACGTAGACATTTAAAGGTATTTCTATTTTTAGCTTTTGCGTTGTTTCGCATTCGCACATAAACCATTATAATTTATGACGATACAAAAAAATATTTTAACAGGGTTACAATTACAAAGAAATAATAATATGTTATTTGTAGCATGATGGGAGCATAAGGTTTCTTATAAAAGTATTGATTGGGGGACCATAAATATATACAGGGTCATTCTAGTGTGTTACATTCGCCACATGTTCGATTTAAACCAAGAAATTTCTATATATTTAAAATATTTTTGCAGAAATGTATTTCTATAAAACATTTTTCTAAACTTTCGCATTGTTATCGTCTGCTCTGCCGTTCCGATTTCTCTTTTGATTTATTTGAAAATTACTCACGTGGATTAATTTTTAATCTAAAGCATTTTTACATATCTTACATCTCATACAGATTTTTTGTCGATTTTTGTCAACGCAGGCATTTCCTTTTAATCCTTGGTCTTCACACTGAAAAAAATATTTTGGCAAAAATTGGTTATTTAAGGCACATTATTCCTCGGATACATATAAGTTTTGCTTTCTTAAGAACTGGCCAGCATGAATTTTAAAGTATTAAAAAATGCTTTTTGGGGGATTTTACATGCTTATCACCTGAATAAAGAAGTCATGAAGAAAAATTATATATATATCTTTGAATAATGCTGTGCAGCTGGTCATCTGACTGTGTTATAGATTTTGAAATATTTGTAATTGTGTTTCTGACCACACTTAACTACAAAATTGCTAATTTTTAGGTCCCCTGCCCCCTTATTTGGAAACAACAAAAACATCATTCTCAATGATATTATTTTATATTCTATTACTCTTTAGTCAATAGTCATTCCTTTGACAAAATGTATGTTGCGCAATTATTAATTGCAAAATACCAGAGTCGCTCGGTATGTAATGTATATTGTACGATATCTAAAAGAATCCGACTCAAATAGTCAAATGGACATTACATTCCTTTAAAATATTCTCTATTGTTTGAAATACATAATATTAATCACTGAATTTATTTATGAAATGCGTCAATGTACGCTGATTTAGGAATGGCTGAGCCAATGGTATTTACCAGAACTTGTGCCGACAACCATATTGGAATAAAGTTTTGACAAAAGGAAAACCGCCGGAAAGGGTTAGATCTGGAGAGTATGGTGTGTGATGTACATGTAAGACTGTAACCTTCTCCGACTTTAAAAATTACTTCATCAGTTCAGATGTATGTGATGGAGTATTATAATGAAGTAAACGAACATATCGCCTAAATCCTACCGTTGTTTGGCTCGCCATATTTTGTTTCCATTATTTTCTTACTGGTCGGAAATAGTGAACCCATATTTCGTCACCAGTAACAATGTTTGCGAATTGTTTCTTTTTTAAGATAGCAACCATTTTGAGCAATGTCTTAACCCTTTGTATTCTTACTTTTTTGGTCTTATGTCAATGTATGGGTTTCCATTTGGATACCGATATGCCAATAGCTTTTATAATATCAAGACTCGTGTACCTGCCATCACTTTAAATTATTTCCCAGTTTTGCCTGTTACAGTTACAGCTCGACCAGATTTCTGCATCTTTGTCTGTCAGAAATGTCTTTCTCCACCTACGAACTTTCTCATAAGATATCTTATCAAACCAGATTCAGAAAAATCTGCTTTACCTTATAACCGAGTTTTGTACGAACTTTTTTATTAGCTCTAATTCTTCAATATTCTCAACCCGACTCCTAATTATTTTGCAATAGTTGTCAATCATGCAAGCATTATTATAAATATAAATCAAGGGAAAGAACACTTTATCTTTGTAAATCAAATCAATTATCTCGAGCCTACGCTATTTGGCTATAAGTGCAGTTGTATTTTTACATGTATTTTACTTTTTTAATTTGATATATTTAAATTTATATTGCCTATTTTCAAAATATTTTCATTTTATAAAAGGGAAATAATGATTTTTTTAATGTTTTTAATCGTACTAGACAATTTGTTTAGAAATGATTTGAAGCTTATTCGTTGGCTAAATATTGACCTGGATTGTCATCTAGAAATTTATATGGAACAAAAAGTTAATATCATATGCCAATTACTGTCAGATTAACAGATATTAGTGGCGTTTGACCGATTGCTTTACGCGTTGGACAGTTAATTGATGGATCGTTTTCCAGTAGGCTTCCAACCCAGAAGTGGCCAGTCGTTTTCATTGAGACAGAGAGAGGGGGAGGGAGGCAGGGAGGGAGAGAGATACGTCGTTTTCATTGATTGTTATAAACGTTAATTGAACTTACATCACTATGTGTCATGCATTCATAGACTTTTGGTTTTTTGCAGCCAATCTCCAAAGCATTTGACATGCTCGCAAGTGCTATGCATAACTGAAATGAAACAAATAGCGCTTCTAAACTGCCTTTACCTAATGCGTTATGCATGCTATTATCCTAATCTTATCATAAAAATATAATTTTTATAAAATGATTTTATAGGTTAATAGTATATGTAGATACAGTAAGTTTTATATATACTTTCAATTTTTCACGCCTGTTTATTTAAAAGTTTTTTCATGATGAAATGAGAAGAAACACATAATATGCTTATACAAATTAAATCTCAATGAATTTACCGCGATATGCCTTGTAACACCGCACTTTGGGGTCAAACGCACTTTGGGGTCCGACCCCAAAGTGCGTTAAACTTCGCACCGCACTTTGGGGTCCAACGCACTTTGGGGTCAAAATCGAGAAATTGACCCAAAAGTGCGTTAATATGCTACATATCAACGCACTTTGGGTTCCAGAGGTCTAAAGCTGTCATCTGAGTTCTGCTTAAATACTGAGTACTGACTTATTTTCGATCTGCGACATTGAAATATTTGAGGTGGAGTTCAAGATGGCGGTCAATACTTTATATGATGCTTAAGTGATAAAAGTTTCATTAATTTTACCACTTGAAATATCTAAAAATTGTGTTCATATAACAAAATTACGTTGGCATAAAAGAGATATTTGCATTTTTTTGTTTTTAGTTTTACATACATACATGTATTTCATTTTAGTTTTGCATACATTTTTTTTCAGTTTTGTATACATATTTTTTTTTTAGTTTTGCATACATATTTTATTTTAGTTTTTCGCACATATTTTATTTTCGTTTTTCGTACATATTTTAGCCAATTAAAACAGATTTCACATCTCATAACAGCCCATAGTTGAGTATTAAACTAGCACAGTGGTTTGGACACATTTCGGACCATTTTTGGAATCGGCCCAGTTGTTTTCGGCAGGTCAAGTCTGGTTTCGGCCGACCCTTTTCGGCCCATTTTTTAAAATTATATGTATTATAATAATTTTTTTATTATTATTATTATATACTATTATATTAGTGTCTTTTTGAAAGGGCTGTTGATTGGTGATCAGTTATTATTCCATGAATATGCACCACTCAACCCCACCCATTAAGAATAGCGGGTGGGGGCATTGACTTTAAACCAAGCCGACCACTGCCCTGCACGGGATACTCAGATAATAACATTCCTGCCTTATGCCGCGGGACAGCGCAAACATTAAAACACGATTCTTTTTTAACCCGCACTCCCCCGGGGGCAAGGGAGGTGGTGAAAAATGACTGGTGTATTACAATAATGCACAATAAAAGATTTAAATAGGTCCTTATATTCCACTGATTTAGAAAAAATGCTTAAAGCTTTGAAGGATTTTTACGAAATTTGCGTCAATTCTTTAGCACATCCAGATAATGTGCAGAACTTATATGCCAGATGTGCCGGCTCAAGGTCGGGTCACACCTACAGGTCAAAGGATTAAGACTTGGTTTAAACAGTATTTATTTCATATAATACAAACATATACAATTATGATACAACAACATTATATAAACAGGATTGAAAAGGAAGTCAAAGACTTATGTAGATTTCTTTCCTGTAAATTGTAAAAATAAAGCAAATTGCAATGTAACAACACGTACTTGTAAGTATACTAGTTACTAACATGAAATAATTATATTATTACGCCTAGAAAGAGTGAGATAAGTAATGAAAATACAACAAACGACGAAAAAAATGAGAATTACAACAAATGTGCGATTATATATAAAGAGAAGTGGCCATTGTCTTTGATTGGGATGATAGGTCAGTTTTGCACAGCAAATATCTGTGATAATTTTTATATAAGAAAAGGAAATTTTACTTATGTGTCAATATATATTATTTGAATTATTTTTGTGGTTATCGGGAGTATTTAAATCCTGGATATAAGACCTAGTATCTTATTATTATTGTTAAATAAGAGACAAATTATAAATCATAATAATATAGTATAGGATGAATTAAAAGAATGTTGAATTATGAAAGCACGTGATAAACGCTCGTAAGTACACCATTTATATTGTTTATGAATTATGTAAGGAGTTAGGCAAGACAAAACCGCTGTGTGCTAGAGATATATTCATGTACAAGATCAAATATTTTGGCATTTGTTTCATCGCTGAGACCTCTATCGCCATACAGTATAGTTGACAATGAAACTGTTGTTATTTGTTGAAGCTGTTCCTTGAATATGGCTCTCTGGCGGGAAAATTGATTACAATTAAAAAAAGAAGTGACATGAATCTTCAATCTCACCGCACTGACAGAAGGGGTCATCAATTATGTTTTTAGAGAAGAGATCTTCCTTTAGAATGCTGCAATGGGTTCTAAGTCGTGTGTGTAAGATTTGGGACTTACGGTTACCGTGATAATAGTATATAGGTACTTTTGAAAGTGTAGAATTTAGTTTTTTCTTAAATATGCCGATGCTTTCTGAATTTCTGACTTCCACAGGTAGTTGGTTCCATTCACTGATCGTAGCATGAAGAAAAGATTTAGAGAAGAATTGAGTATTACAATGTATGTTTCTGGTATTATGGCCATTTCTAAGATTATAATTTAAGGAGTGACATCATCAACAGATTCAGGGACTAGAGAAGATAAATATGGTGGTACCAGGAAGTTTGTCATTTTGTAGTACATTATTAATTTGTGTTTAAGCCTTCTAGATTTAAGAGTTTCAAGACCAGTTTCTTTGTACAGATTTGATAGTGAGACTAATTTGGTGGCTCCAGTTATGATTCGAGCTGCTTCCAACTGTATCTGTTCCAATTCAAGTTCCTCTTTTTGTGTCAAATTGTCCCATACGACGTTTGCATACTCTAATATTGGCCTAATAAAGGAGAAGTAAATAGTTTCTAGGGACTTTCTGTCTAGGGTAAATTTAAGTTTCCGCATGATATTGATTCTTTGCCAAGCTTTGTGTTTAATATTAGAAATGTGTTCACACCAGTCCCCGTTGTTGGATAACGTAACTCCAAGATGTTTATGGGATTCTACTTCAGAGATTTGAATATTATTCATAAAAAGAGGTGGATGATTACTAGTATGTGAACGATGTTTTTTAGTTATAAAAATTGATTCTGTTTTGCTCGGATTGAACTTGACAAGCCAAGTATCTGCCCAATTACTTATTTTATTAAGGTCTGAGTTCATGATTTCAGCAGCGGTGATAGGGTTTTCAACGATAAGATAGAGAGATGTGTCATCAGCAAACAGTCTAATGATTGATTGTATGTCCAAGACAATGTCATTGATATAGACAATAAACAGAATAGGTCCCAATATTGAGCCTTGAGGAACACCAGCGTTGATATTAAGTAAGTCTGAAGTAGATCCAGAAAGTACAACTCGTTGTTGTCGATCAGATAAATAGTCTTTGAACCATTCAAGAAGTTTACCAGATATACCTGTTAGAGATAATTTATGTATTAGACCTTTGTGCCAGACCCGATCGAAAGCTTTTGAAATATCACAAAATACCGCTCTAACTTCTTTGCCTTCATCAAGAGCTTGACAGAAAGTATGATAAATTGAAGTGAGTTGATTTACAGTAGAATCTTTGGCAACAAATCCAGACTGGAGTGAAGTAATAGTGTTGTTATCAAGAAAGAAGTTGTAAACATGTTTGTGAATAATTTTTTCCATTACTTTATTAAGAGTGCTAAGAAGTGAGATTGGTCTATAATTAGAAATATTTTGAGGATCTCCTTTTTTATACACAGCACATACATGGGCTAATTTCCACTGTGAAGGAACTTTACCAGACTGTAAAGAATGATTAAATAGGCAACTAAGTGGTTCAGCAAGTTCTTGAGAGAGTTCTTTTAGGATTTTATTGTTTATGAGGTCTGGACCTACCGCTTTTCCTACGCTTAGTGATTTAAGTATTGATGCGACTTCTAGTGGTGTTATATTTATGTTTTCTAAGTGATTATGAACAGTTTGTGTTGTTTCTGGGAGTTGTTTGTTGTTATCAGCAAGTACAGTTTGTGATTGAAAGAAGTTATTAAAGGCATTGGCTTTGTCAATGTTTGTTGTGTATATTTTGTCGTTGTCAGTGATAGTTGGTATGTTGCTATTTTGTGTATTTGGTTTGATAAATTGTTTCAATATTTTCCAATAATCTGATGATGTCAGGTTGTTTGATTTTAACCTTTCAGCAAGTTTGCTTGTGTGACTGGTGCGTGCATTTCTAATAAGTTGTGTTGTTTTGTTTCTTAACTGCTTATAAATAACCCAATGATGTTGATTGTTTGACTTTTTAGCTTTATCGTATGCTCCTTTGCGCTTTTTGATGTATTTTCTTATTTCATTGTGCATCCAGGGTGGATCTGTTTGTCTGATTGTAACTGTTTTGTTAGGAATTGTTGGGCTTTCTTTAGGGATTCTTATTTCTCTCTTTTTCACGTAATATTGAGTGCATATTGATTGATATCGTTATGTTTTAATGTGTTCAAGTCTAAGATTGACTTTCTGTCTAAGACTATTATAATCATCCTTATCAAATTGCCATAGTATCCTTTTTAAAGAATTAAACTTATTTTTAGTATACTTAAAGCAACAGAAAATAGGGCAGTGGTATCGTATGTTTTGATATAGGAAGGGTTCATCAACTCCACAAAAAGCAAGAAATTCCGTGGAGGAAAGAAAAGAGAGATCTAGAACAGAACTTGATGATTTGGTAAAGTGAGTTGGTTCAGTTATCAGCCGTTCTCCATGCAAATGTTATCAATCTTCTGTTTAGATGAGAGTTTCTGTGTATTAATGTAAAAGTCACCTGTAACAATAATATCTATATTAGTATCTTTAGCAAATCCAATTAAGTTTTTTATATTAGTGAGAATATTTTGAGAGGAGTTCGGTGGACGATAAAATGTACCAAGGAGAATTTTTTTGTGCTTAGGTTTAATTTCAATCCAATTGCATTCTGTGTTGGATATTTCTAAATCGATTCTTCTTATTACATTTATACTATCTTTAACGTAAACAAAAATT